ATAAGGTCTTAATTGGTATCACTCCTCTAACTTTAGTTTATACTTTAAGGGGTTTTTACTTGCAAAAAAAAAAAAAGGAAGAAGAAATTCATGAAGGTTTAATTACTAAACCATTTCAAAATAATATGTTCTGGGTTGGTTTAGATAACAAAGATCTGATTATAGATTATATTTCAGAAAGTTTTATAAATATACTAGGGAAATCAAAATTGAAGTAAGTCCTTATGATTCCACTAGAGCCCATCTAATATATTGACTCCACAAATAGGATTCAAATGATTATGTGGTTTTTTCGACATTTTTTTCATGCGAATACAATTCAAGGCTCAAAAACTTCAAGAAACTTATTTTTTTTTCTAATAAAGAAATTCCACACAACATCGAAGGAGGCTCCCAAGCTTCTATTGACAACTTTAGTTTGCTAATTAGTTTGTGAATGAAAATGTATAGAATACTTGAGCTGAGTGTATGATATCCTCCATAAAGTATGCAAAAATAAATTATGAATTTTATATCATAATATAAAACGATAGATAACATAAGCCCATGTAAGCAAACTACTTCTTTAAAGAGCAATTTGGTCATATAAGAAACATCAAAGGGCTTTACAAATGGTATGAAATGAGCAATTTTAGAAAACCAATACCACTAAAAATATTGAATCATAGCATCTAGTTGTTTTTAATAAATTAAATTTTAATTCCATGCTTATATATATATATATATATCAGTAGCTTGTTGGGTATAGGTAGTGGTGTGTATAGACCTATATTTTGTTTATTTTCTTTGATAATTTGACAGATATGACGGGTCACATCTCTTTTTATGCTTAGCTTGTAAAATCAATTTTCCACCATTACAATTATTCTATATCTTCCAAAATGACCTATTATGCCTCCTGGATCCAATTTCGAGATTACTTATAATTGGAGAGATATGTTAAGTAATCAAAGATGAGTTCCTTTAAATAATGTATACATTGTGCAATGAAAAATTAAGATAACATTTTCAATCAACTAAGCCTTGATAAATTACATCGAAGTCCTTACAATATGGCTAACTTATTTTAACCAAATCAAACCCCACAATTTGGATAGTTATGGAGGTGA